AATTCTGGGAGTTGAAGTCCACACATCTTAAAGTTCCCAAGGTTGAGAAACGCTGATTTGGAAGGAAATGGAATGGAAAGATGTCATCTGGTGCGGATTGAACAGCTGCAAAATGAGTACACTATGAGTGTGCAGCGGTAGGAGACAGGTGATCCATACGAAGGCTGTGTATCTAATGAAAAAGGCTGTCATTCATTAACGTTTATCCCACAATGACACTGTTGGTCTGTAAGGTGCCACAGCCTCCTTGTTGTTTTACTGCAAGAGACAGCACAGTTGCCTCTCCGAAACTTAAAGGCACGGTGCTCCACAGAGGACCAGAAAAGGCATCAGTTGCCTTGGTTGCGAAGAACACAACTTTAGTTTGTAACTGGTGAAGGGTTGCCTCTTGCTAAATAGCTAGTTTTTAATTTTAATTTATTCTCCGTTTTTCTCTCCCCCCCCCCCCCCCCCGCTTGACTGTCTCAGTTCATTCGGTCGCGCTGCCGGATCCTACCTCAAGGGAGGGCCTTAAGACAAAGCAGCAGACGGCGGGGGGGTGGAGGATACACCTGACGGGAGCTTTCTCCACCCCCTCTGCGAGTGAGCACCTTCGGGGAACGTCTGTGCCCCCTTCTCTGTGGGGAGGCTCTTGCGTCGCAGCGCTTTAATTTTCCAAAGAGTTCCAGCTAAGCTGACATCACTAGAGGTGGCCCATTGCTTCCCAGACTGGTGCCATAACTTTCGCCCCGTTCCTTCCTTGCTGGGCATGCCAGAGGCGTCTTGTATGAACCCGGAAGCCCCATGCCAATTCTCTGCAGGCGGGCCTGGCCTGCAGATGGTGCCTGGGTTCTGGTGACTTGGGCAGCCTGCCCACTGAGGGAGAGCAAAGGCAGGAGAGGGGCACAGGAAGCCTGGCATGGAGGACTCTGACCAGCGGTTGGTGCTGGGCATGAACATGGGGGATGGGCGGCAGACGCCTCCGGGGCAGCTGCGAACACCCTCTGAAGACAGCGAGGAGCAGCGGGTGCCTGGGCCAGAAGCCATGTGTGATGGTGGTGGTGATGCCAGGAAGAAAGAAAATGAGGAGGAGGAAGAGGAGGAGGAGGAAGAACTTGACCCTCGTATTCAGGTAAGAGAATGCTAAATTCCTTCTCTCCTGGCCACTCCTCCCTGGCCATACCTGGAAGATTTGGAAGTTTGGGTCATAAGGTCTGGTTGCAAGAATCTAGGGAGCCACCAAATGACAGCAAAGGGATAAAGAAAATGTTAGCTCTTTGCTGCCATCTAGTGATGGTCTGGATGTTTGTAACCCAGATTTGGTAGCCTTAACAAACCGGCTCAGTCTACACCAGAGAGGAGCTGAGACTCAGTCTTCCTGCTTCCTGAAGGGCTACAGGAGTTGAATGAAAACCGCAAATTTTTTTATTAGGTATAATATAAATTAAAAGCATCGCCGTTTACTAAGATACTGACAGTGGCAAGAATCAGTCTGGCACTGCTGTCAACACAGGATCGAGAGAGTAAAACTGGGGTATAAGCGGCAATGGGAAAATTGACTGTGTATATTCATGGCAGACATCTAACCAAATCCAAGCAGGTATTATTCCCTTGTATACAGTACAACAGGGTTCCTCAACCTTGGCGACTTGAAGATGTGTGGACTTCAACTCCCAGAATTC